AAACAATCAGGGAGCAGGAACAGGAAGACCAAATATGGGAATAGGAAAACACAAGGGCAAACTAGATCTAAAGGCACACGGGACACGTACGAAACTAAACAAAACACACAGAAAAGTCCATGGCGTGACATAACGCCCCCCTCCGGAAGGCACGTCCTCGCACCATATAACATCAAAGGGGTAAGAGGGTGGGCACCTTGGAGGTCCCTCAGGACAGGCTTGGACCGGACGAGACGCCTCCAAGGTGGTACCGGATCCGGGTCCCATGACAGAGCGGGCAGCTCGGGGAGCCATGACAGAGCAGGCAGCTCAGAAGGCCATGGCGGAGCAGACAGTTCAGGAGGCCATGGCAGAGCAGACAGTTCAGGAGGCCATGGTGGAGTTGACAGTACAGGAGTGCAATAGCCCCCTCCCAAAAATTCCTTGGGGGAAATTTCGGCCCCTGAGGCCCTCCATGGGCTTGACGCGGGACCAGCGACCTTCCTTGAGCTGGACGTGGGAACTGGAGCCCTCCTTGGGCAGGACATGGAAACTGGAGTCCTTTCTGTGCCCAACTCAGGAACAGGAACCCTCACCGGGCCGGACCCGGGAACAACAGCCCTCACTGGGTTAGACGTGGGAACAGAAACATTCTTTGGGCTTGACATGGGCTCCCAGTTGAGCTCTGGAGAGCATTCTGGAGCGGACTCATTGGCTGGAGCCGACACTGGAGCGAGCTCTGGGGTTGGAGCCGGCACTGGAGTGAGGATGAGGGCCGAGAGCCATCCTTTTCGCCTCATCCTCCTCTTTTGGTTACAGGTGAATAGGGCGGCCGGCGGGCTTGAGTGAGCCGCGGCCAGCTGACTTGACAACGGCGCGGCCGGCGGGCTTGTCTTCGGAGCGGCCGGCAAGCTTGACAGCAGGGCGGTCCTCATACCGCGGGGAGAAAAATGGGAAACACAACACAAGGGGGAGGAAAACACAACACAAGACATGGAACAGAGTCTGACAGACACATTGTGGTAAATACATTTTACAGCACTCATCTCATTTCCTCATTTTATCACATCCTTCTCTCTGCTCATCTCTACCTGTTCCACTCTTTCTCCACCCACTCCACCACCTTTTAGAAATACATCTCTTTTAGGCATACATCTCCAACTAAAGCAAACACTGACCTCGATAATGGTAACCTCAAATGAAACTCAATAAATCATCAACATCCTAAACCTCTGTTAATTCTAAAAACTTTAGTAGATGTCTGAGAGAAATAAAGTCAATCTGGTTAGTAATAAATGAAGCTGGTAATGCTGTTTGTGGAGTTGTTTAATCTTCCTCTGCTGAGATCTTGAGAGATTTAATGTCTTTTATTTGCAGTTGATTTCAGGCTGTGTGCCTTTAAGTCAGTTGTAGTTGTTGTGTTTCATTTTCTGAGAGTGCAAGCATGATGTTAAACCAACACCACATTGTAACATTGATTTAAAGCCGTTACTGTTGATTTTTTAAATTAAATTTCCACATTTTTTCAAGGTTTATTGCAGGTGCAAAAGTGATGTTAATTAAATGCCACTGATTTACTGTAACATTGTTTCAATGGATGCTTGCTATCTGGGATACCATGTTAATTTGATAACATGACAAATTACAGAGTTCTGTTTGTTGTGTTTGGACAAATGGGACATTAGTACATACATATGATTTGTGTAAAACCAATAAAAATATCTGCAATTGTTGTTGTTTTTCTCCTGCTATATAAAAAAATTGGGTTGCTGTATGAACTATTATGAAAACATTTGAGAATTTTGGAATTTTGTGCACAGTGAAAGATAATTGTGAGATGCATTTACATTGTGACCATGCCTCAGATACAATCAACAGAAACTGTGTCTGTAAAGGTGTGAACCAAATGGTCCATTCAGTTAGAATAACAAAAGAATAGCATTTCTCAGGAGCTTCTTGTCGATTGCAGGATCTTAACTATTGTTTCTAGTCCTTTTGTCTTCAGGTATAAAGGTCTGTCTCACAGACAGAACTTTGGGAGAAGCTAAGATTCTTATAAAGATTAAGATATTTTAAAGACAAACATGCCAACATTGCTGTTGAAGAACTGCTTTTATGATGCGAACAACTGACTATGGTGACATGGCGATTGAGTAGTTTTTAGTTGTGATCTGAGAAATGCACCAAAGCAACTGAGAAAAACTGTAAGAGTGTGTCTCTAAAACCTGCTCTGCAATTAGTTGTGTAGCATAACAGACCTTCTTTCTTGAAAAGTTTAAAATTTAATCCCATTTTACCCAAGCAGGAGTTGAAGTAGCTTGTTCAGCTCTCCCTAAAATTGTAAAAGTATTTTTAAATGAATGGGGAGAGCAGCATTACTGCACTCTTTCAATAATGAATGTGCTTACTTTGAATATAAAAATAATTTCTGTTTATTATAGTAATTATTTCACGCATTTCAAGTGTTCATTTCATTTAAACTATTTTTGCAATAAATTTTGTAAAACTGTGTCCTCAACTATTTAACTATTGAATGTTTTATCTAATGGTGTATTTGGGGTAGTTTAGGAATATGATCATGCCAAAGGAACAGTCTGCAGGAGAATCAACAGCTGCAGATGAGAACTGCCCTAAAAAGATTTGTGACTCACCCTTATGATAGTTGCTTACGAATGAAAGTAAGATACTCTCCAAGATACTGTCTTTAAGAAAAAAACATCATGTTTGGATGTTGCTAGAATTATCTGTACTGTTAACCTATCAGAACCTGTAGAAATGATGTAAATATGACTATAAGTATTAATGTTAAGTTAGTTGGAGGCTGGCTCCTCTTAATCATTTTCTACGGCCTTTGGAAGTGTGGATAACTCCGTCTTCAGTAAACTCTCTGTCAACTGACTGAACAAATTTGACTCCTGGTCTTCATTGAGCATATTGGTCTCTCTATGGGATTTAACTGTAATTCCCCTACAATAATCCATTTTTATCTTTTTTTTATTTTCTATACCACAATGGCATTGTAGGCTACTGCAATTTGTTGTCAGATCACCAGTAAAAGCATACATTCCGTCCAGTGTCTTGCAATCAATATCCTGCATACAGTAATGTGTAAATTTGTCCTGTTGAAATTGATGCCTTGCAGAAAAAGAAGCTGATAACATGTTCAGAGGTCAGCTGCACATAAAGGTATACCGAGTTCACTCACCTGGAGTCAAACTTCCGTCCGTCCTCGAGTGTGCCGTTATATTGATACCGAACATAATCTCCGATCTGAACCTCTCTCGAGCAGTGTGTTGGTATGAAGTATCGATCAATAATCACATCTTCCAACTGACCACATGCAACATGTATGAGAGTGAGGAGAACAGTGAGAGCTGCTGTTATCGCCATTTAAAATAAGAGGATAATTCTCATTCGGTATTCTGCAGGAGAAACAAAAGCAAAACTAAATCAAGCCGTGACAAACGATACTTATAAAAATTTCACTATGCATTTGTTATCCTGAAATCTGTGAACTTATGTGCAAACATGCGGAAAATAACTTGAAAGAAGTTGATGTTCACGTAGGCTGTGTAACTGTACTGCGTATCAAAATCCGCAGGAGCTGCAGCATCAACCGCGCGGTCCTAAACTCCGTTCGGTCACGCATTCCTAAAGTTTAAGCAACAAGCAGTAGGCTATTCAACAATACAACAGGCACAAGATAAATATGTAACAGAATGTTTTTTTGTCAATATAAGGAACGCTAACTAAATTGCATGGTTTTATACAATTTAAAAAAATATATAATTTTTTTTTATGAATTACCATATAGATCACTGATGGATGAAAAAGCTGAAAGCTCAAATTGGACCCAGCCTTTTAAATTAACCTATTAAAAGTTAATGATCCAACAGACCAAAGGTAGTCTATACTTGTGCTTCCTGTGGGGGGAGGAGGGGAATGGACAAAATGAAGATTTTTATTCATATTTAAAGCAACAATAATCTGTAAAACTTTTCTAACTTTAAGTCTTTCTCAGAGCAATGACTAGAATACTTAAAACTGACGGACGTTTAGACCCAGAGAAGCAGTCCAGATCAGAATTTGGGAGGCATGCAGAGTTTTCCATCACCGTAAAACTCCTTCAACCCCAAAGGGCCACAGATTTCCTACGTGCAGCCGGACATGAATCTCCACTCTCCGTTATTACACGGGGATCGGCGCTTACAGTGAGGAACAGAAGCATGGCCCAAACAAGAATATGTTTAGTCGTGTTTTTCAGTACTGCCCATCTTTTCTGTACTGTAAAGGCTCAATATGAGAAATACAGCTTCAAAAGCTTTCCAGCGAACGACCTCATGCCGCTGGAGTCTGCGTACGGACACGCGTTAGAGATGTACGCTGCTCAGGACTGGAAGCAGAGCGCTGAATATCTGGAGCTGAGCCTGCGGCTTCATCGGCTGCTGAAGGACAGCGAAGCGCACTGCAGTCAGAACTGCAGCGCTGCGGGCCGGGAACATGAGGAGAACAACACCGAAACTACCCTCTTGATCATGGGGCACATCATAATGCGAGCTGCATGCCTGAAAAGGTGCAAAACAAACTTTCCCGTGTTTTCTAAATCATATCCTAAGCGAGAGACTTTGGGTGCTTTCGAACAGAGGATACCCTACCGGTACCTTCAGTACGTCTACTACCAGGTAAGAGATCACGTTCATGGATTTGCGATGAGCCAGAACGCTTTTAAGGTGTTACTTCACAGTACTATACATAAAACGTTAACTGTCCACTGAAAATGGTAATAAACGATGGATGGACATTACTGTAAATCATTTTCCTATTGTCGTAATCACTTGGAACAACCACTTAGATTAATTTAGATTAAATTTGCTCTATCAACAATAATGCATTTTTGATTATGTGTCTCAATCGGTGCGTTGCGTTTCATTGGTCCAGTAAGCGGCACACATGCCACGTCCACGCAAGATGCGCTTCGTAATCGCAACACAACCGCGCTTTGAAGGCGTAATGTCTTAAAACTGCTTAACGCCAAAACATGATTTCTTTCAGTTAATCGTTGTCGTGAATGTAGTAACCGTTCATAAGATTTAGGATGGATGGATGAGGATTCACAACCACTGGCGAGAAAAGTAATGCTAAGTAAAGGGACAGAAATCTGAGGCAAATCTGCGGTAAATTTGCTGCGTGTTTGTATTGCTGCTATAATAATTCATGATAAAAGGAAATACAGAAAATAATTCCAAATCATTTTTAAGATTTGCGATCGATTATTCCCCCACTTTTACAGTTGCCTATGGCATATGGAACAACATATATGGGTTCATAATTAAGTTATAAAGCAGTAATCATTATTAAATACCAGCATAGTGCACTGCCTAATAGTGCGTATTCAACACGTTCTCATTTCCAACTCGCATATGGACGCTTGGTCAGGACCAGGGGCGCAACTGCACATTTGCCGAGGGGTATGCAAGCGCCCCCCTGTATTCTAGTAGCCTCTAACTCACGCAGAAAACGTTCTGCAAGTCAATGACCAAAAGCCCAATACTAGCTTGTGCATGGAAGGATACAAACTCATCAGGAGTGAAAAAAGTGAAAGTAAAAACAATAAGAAAAAAAAAAGAAAAGCATGTAACATAACATCCCCTTTAACTCTTGATGGTAGACCCCAGACAGTAGAACACATTTTTTTTATTCTTTTTTTATTTTTAAACATGTAACATTGCTCACTTTTTAGTTAGGTAATTTGAAGGGGGAAAAAAAGAAAGAAAAAAAATATATATAAAATATTATTCATTTGCCTCAAAGTTATTCATATCTTTGCACATTTTTATATAGTCAATTTTATTTTAAAGAACATCTGCATTTTTTTTTTTTTTTTTTTTTTAACTTAAAGAGATAATTCATGGAAAATTTGCCATGCTAAGTGGAAGATTTCTGCCAAGATTTCACCTGGTAGAAAAACAAATACTATTAAAATGAATGTCATGATTCCCACTATGGCCAATAAATGGCAGCAGAGGATCATTTATTGTTACCTTTACCATTTCCACTCTATAATATAGTTATTTTTCACATGTTCTGCTAATGGATTTATATTTAGACATTATAAAATCACTATTGCAACATTTAAAAATCTATTTTTTGTCAAAGTTCAGCATTGTTTTGTATTGAAGTATGAAGAGCAAGAGTTTTCAACTCATTGAATCTACTTGAATTACACAGATGGCCTATTTTGAATTTACAATGGCAATTTTCAGTGAAAAGTGGCTAGTTTGTATCCTTGTTTACAATCTTCTCAGTTTCTCTCAAATGTAAATCAAATGCCCATTCACAAACATGTTTTTTTTTTTTCCCGAGCAATAGAGATACTCAGAAATGAACTGATATTAATCACTTTGCCCTCTTAGGCAGTGGCAGTGCCAGGATGTTTTCATAGGGGTGGCCAGGAAGGGGGTAGCAACCAGTCTGGGTGGGGTGGCACAGAAATCTTCATTATTTCAATATAGAAATGTATTTGACTATAAAGTACTGGGCTGTTTTAGTGCCTTAAACACAACTGAATACAATTCATTTGTACTTACAATACGGTAATTGAAATTGAGATAGTTGTGAAGTAATACTGAGTGAATGACAATTTTTTGTATTATTTTTGTATTACCAAGACTCCAGGTATTTTAAGAAAAGGGCTCAAACTCTAGCTTTATTGCTCAGTAAGCTTGGTTCTGGGTCTTAACACACCCAACATCTTGTTCTCCATCATTGCATAGGCCCACTCATGAATGAGACATGCAGATAACTATAGTCAACCTTCACTGAATTTTATATAATCAATGAACTCTGAAAAAGTAATGTCAATGTTTAACATTCTATTAGTTGTCAAAATAAATTCATTGCAGCACTTTTGTCATACCTAAATCGAGCTCTGTAGGCTACAAAGGAAAATACTGTAAGAATGGAAAATTAGTTATTTCATGCATTTAAATATGGTTTAATTTTCTTTTCATTTTCGTACTTGACAAATTAACGAAAAATTAGCGCATATTTTCTAGTACATTTCTAGTACATATGCAAACAGCTGTCATTATCGCGAACGATTTCTTTGATTTTTTTGCGTAACTTGTCAGTGAACGGCTATGTGTAGTAAATTCTGCTCCATCTGAAAGCACGTGATGATGATTTCCTGCTGATTACAGAACCGGCTTTACTAACAAAATGCGCATGACAATCGCATTCGATTAATCGTGCCTATTGCGCCCTATTGTGATCTCGAATTGCAGAATATTTCAGTAGGCTGCATTAATTTGAGAGACGTTCTTAAATGTAATTCGCATACATGCATGCACAGTTTTGCAGTTTTAATCGCCATTTTGGTAATTTCGTGACTTAACTGACGATGTATGCTCGCAGTTTCTAATGCGTTTTATTTATGAAGTGAGCGTGCGCCTCATATTTACAAACTCTAAAATGCTGCCTTCGGAGGCGCTTTTCAACAAGCAGGGTATACTCTAGTCCAGTGGTTCTCAAACTGGGGTACGTGAGGTGACGGAGGGGTACGCAAACAAAATTCTGAGTTTTGGCATTCATTTAAAGGTGGGGTATGTATTTTTTCAAAAACGCTTTAGAAAACTGAGTTGGGCCGAGTACCAAAACAAACTTGTAGCCAATCAGCAGTAAGGGGCGTGTCTACTCATGATGCAGAGGAGAGAGCGTTCAGTGCACAGGACGGACATTAGCCGAGCCGAGTGACGACAGAAAGGATCAAAAACAAAAGAGGAAAACGTCTGCGGAACAATAGAAGGCTTACGATAAGGCAAGAAGTAGGACCCGTGTAAATATCGGATCAGCTTTCCAGCGCTGGAGAGAACTCAAGGAAGGCCTACGATCAGACGCCGAGGCTGCTTTGTTTCTTCTCGATAGGTGAGTAACACCGTGTCTAAATTAGGGTTCCGTTCCGCATCCAGTGTAGACAGCATCACTGATTATAATGAGTTCTACAATATTTTGTCGCGCTGCTCGCGTCCAGTGTAGACACGGTGTAACATTGGTTTTGCTTGGTGTAGGGGCGTGTTTGTTTTGCTGATTTGAAATGTCAACATTGGCTACCAGAAATCACTTACCCCACCTTTAATTCTACCCCAACTTAACATTAAAACCGAACATGTATTTCTGACCAGCAAAATGCTTTACATTCTAATATAAAAACAGGAAAATGGGAGTGCCGTAAATGGTCAAATACATGATATCCAATCAGCTTACCTCATCTTTTGCGGTCAAAACTGACGACATCCACACAAGCAGTGTGCATGTGATAGGATGCCCGCTGAATATGCTGCTTTAGCAAATCGCGCTGCTATATTATATGTTCAATAAGTAGATCTTCACTTAATAGCTCTATTGCTTTCAGCAAGAAATCTTTGGTGTCAGTACACAGATGCAAATACTAAGGAAATGTATCGTCAAGAAATTTGCAAAGAGGTAATAAATGCATTAACATTTCTGCATTTTATATTGAAAACATGCAATTTAGAGATTATCTTTAGATGGAAAGAAAGCGTAATTTTACAAATGTTAGAAATGTGGCCTTCAAATGATAGCCTATTATCAAATAGCACATTCAGGTTCTTGACTGACCATAAAGACTTGACAGAACATCACAGAGGAAAGAAAAGACAAAAATGAGATCTCAAAAAAGCCTATTTCTAGAAATGAGGTTACTTTAACATCATATTGAGACTTTTGCTCGAGTCTCCTGCTTCTCAACCTTGTCTCCTGAGACAAAAACTCTAACACTCCCAATATGGTCTGCTCTAACATTTTAGAGGAGATTTCATCACCAGAGATTTTTCTCCGTAGCTAGAGACAGTGAAGATCTCACTTTTGCCACCTTTAAAGCTTTAGAAGAGATCTCAACAACATCACACACTTTTCTCAGATTTTCTCCTTGGCTAAAGGCTCTGGATCGCTCATAATTGTCTTCTATAAATTTCAGTAGCGATCTCAACAACTTGTATCAATATGAGCTCAAACATGTCTACCAAATAATATGTATTAATAATCAAATTAGTTTTGGATTGGATTGAGTCATAAGCCATTTAATGTGCCTTTCAGCAAAGAAAGCTCCAGGGTTACTGTTCCTGTAAGTCGGTTTTGATAAAGGCATTAGGTAGATTACTATTTCCAAGAACAAATAATGTGCCCAATGCAACATTAAAATAAACTGTACAGTTCTATTATCTTATTGTGTGTCAACAAGAGTAACGTTAACCGTATTTTTGCATAATTTTAATCTTAGTAAATGTGAGACCACGAAGTCTGAGCTGTGTGTGATGATGATGAGATATCTGCTAAATCTTTTAGGGAGACCATTTTAAAAGTGTTAGATTTTATTTTATTTTCTCAGGAGACAAGTGTGAGAAGCAGGAGACTCTAGCAAAAGTCTCCATTTGATGTTAAAGTAACCTCATTTCTGTATAGCGCAAACAATTGAGATGTTAAAGAGATCTAATTTTTCTTTTTTTCTCTGGGTAGTTTTAATCTCATTCATCCACGGCATTTCAATCAAACATAATACTTGCATTGTCATATTTGAAGTTATTTAGTGTATACAGTGTTTTAAAGCACAATGTTACGCAGAGGAAATCATGACCTTTATTTACATGCATGCAAAATGGGCTGTACAAGACAAACCTTTCAATGCTAAACAAAGAAAAAAAAGATCATGCAACAACCATGAAGCGCTGGTACACTAGTGTTACATTAAAAAAGAGAGTATTGATCTTATACTAGAAAACATACACTTATATAATCCCTTTCTAGTGTATTTAGAAAATGTGCTGCATATACAATGCTGGGCATTGAAGAAAATTTTGATCCAGAAACCCTTGATATTCTGAAACGTATAATGCTATTTAAATGATAGTTTCAGAATTTACAATAATAATAAAAAATTTACATTTTGTAATTAAACAAAACTTTTCTCCTAAAATAAAACTGAAGAGACCTGAAGACAAAGCTGATACCTAAATGAGATATAAGAAAATCACCCCTTAGTATCCTGAGCTTAGAGTAACCTCTAGAGCCATCACCTTATGGGCAGCAGATCAGTGTCAAAGCACAGCTGCTCCTCAGACAGAACGAGTCTGAGACCCAGCTATAAAGGTACTTTCCTGCTCCTGTTCCCTTCTCACCTCTCCCATTAATTCCTGTCTCTCCTCCTACTGTCCTGACCATTAAAAGTGAAAAAAAAAAAAACTCCACTGTAATCAGAAAAGAAAGAAAGAGCAACCTCAATTTTTACGACAGGGTCTATATGAATCTATATTAATGTCAATCTATAATTCATAAAGCACTATATAAGTAAATGTGACTTGGCTATTCTAACAGTAACAAGTGACAACATGTATTTGAATCTGAGAAAGCCAATGGAGAGATCTCACCTGTGTACCTCTTATTTCACTAATGTCAATTAAATGAGAAACTGCAAAACAATATGTAAACAAGACAATCCAGACACTGAATTATCTCATGTTATGTGCGTCTAGATGAATGAGTTGGAGAGAGCGGTTTCGGCAGCACACACATATCTAGAGCGAAACCCTGAGGACCCCCTTCTATCTAGGAGTCTTAACTACTATAAAAGCCTGTTTGACACAGAGGAGTACCTCGTAGACCATGAGGAGAAGCCCTGTGAGGTATTTATTCTCTCTAATCGTGTTTTTCTATTTAACCTTATTTGTGAGAGGCACTCTTCTGAAATAACTAAATATGTATTCATATCAATCTGTCTCTTAGGCTTTATTCCTGAAGGCTGTAAAGCTGTATAATTCGGGGGATTTTAGCAGCAGTGCTCGAGACATGGAGCTGGCGGCTGCTGAGTATTTTAAAACATTCAACACGTGTTTGATGTCCTGTGAGGGGTCATACGATGTGCAGGAGTTTAAAGACTTCTACCCCACCTTAGCCGGTCAGCATTTTTTATTTCAATTTCAATTTTTGATTTATAAATGCATCAGATGATAATTTCAAAGTGTGTAATACCTGCTTTGAGTTAACAATTTTAAATTTAAATGAATTTAATCTATATGTGCTTTCAAGTCATGTCGGATAGATCGTATTTACGAGTTAATCGCACATGAACGCCACCACAAAGTCGTTATTATGAGTGGGAAACTCGAAAGTTTCTTA